ATTTAATATTAAATTATATGATAAAAAATAATATTTAATTTATTAATTATTTGATTAAATTCGTTTACATAATAATAATACTAAAATAAATATTTATTTTTATTTTTTTATACAAATTTATAACAAAAATATACCTTTAACCTATATTTTTAAAATACAAATTGAAAAAATCCTTCCCATAAATAAATAAATATAATTCATTGCCTTCAACTAACAACATTCGGTTGATAAATTCGAACACACAAAAGACTCACCAAAATATCAAGGATAATACATATTTTTTTAATTGATATGAAAAACACTTCTGGCTTCCCTTGAACAGATTGGGTGAAAGTACTAGCAATAAATTGAGACAAAAATGGGTAGTGTGAGCCCTAACAGACTTTATTCAGCCAAACCACATCCATACATGGTTGATTCAGCAAAACCCCGTCCATACATAGCTTTCTGTTTTGCTAGAATCGTTCAATAATACATATAAAAACAATACCAGGTCAACCTGGTTTTGATATCAAGTCCCAAACATGCAAGACTAATAAATTCAACAATATCCGTCTGATCATAATATAGGATAAGTAGAGAAAGCCAAAATGGAGACTCAAGTGCATTTAGCCACATACGCCTTCCATCCTTGAAGACGATATTCTCTTGCTGTCTCCAAAGGGTTTGCTGCCTTTATGATTCCACGTCCCACAATTATGATGTCACTACCCCTATCATAGATTACCTGCAGCACCAATTAGTTTCAGTCATTATAGTATACCATTTTTGACTTTCGAAATAGCATTCCTATGCTAGTTGAAAATCACAACAATTATACCTCAGACCATACAGAAAATTCAACTTATGGAGTAAAATTAATCTATTATCAAACAATAATCATCCATGCATCTCATTTTACATTCCAGGTTGTAATTAAATAAAAATTAAGAACAAACATGATTACAGAGAACAAGTGAACATTGAAACCAACTTACAGAGTAGGGAGTGTTATACTGCTGGCCAAGAGCATCACCACCCTTCACCATTTGAACTCCAGGAGTTGCCTGAATGAATGCTGGATTTACTGGTGGCCCAGGCCATGATGCTGGATTAACTGAGATGAATCCAATTACAAAATCTGAATGATCTTCAGCAATTTTAACCGCAGCAGCTGTGTAGTCTCCCTTGGCAAGGTTACCAGCAGAGCTCATTTCAGCAAGTAGCAACAGGCCCCTACCGTGAGGCAAACCCTAAAGCAGCAGAAAAGGATGCTAAAACTTGATATATTTGTATATTGCTTTACCATAAATGTTGGAATGCAATTAGTTCAAACCTTCAGTTTCAAACCATCAACAATTCCAGGGCCAGAGATAATGTGAGCATTAATAATATCAGCCCATTCCAATATGCGGTAGATACCTCTGCACAGCAGCACCCTTGTCCCTCAGCAAGGAAAAGCGAATAACAAAAACATAACACAGGCAGACTACAATAAGCCAAATCTTACCCTTCATACTGCATTGTCACTGTGTTACCAATGTCGGCAAATTTACGGTCTTCAAAGATTAAAAAGTTGTGTTTTTCAGCAATCTTCAATAATCAAATAACAGATTTGGAGTTAGCTAAACTTGACAATGACCATTCAATTAACTAAAACTTCACAACATCCCAGACAAGGTCAAATATCATCCAAAAAAAATGGAGAATCAATTTTCCACAATGACCATCAGTAAATATCAAAACAAAGTCAAACACTTGATCTTGAATACTTGAGAATTATCCTAAATGAATCATAAAATAGCCATATTTGACTTTGAATTGACCCAAAAAAAAAAAAAGTCAAATGCTTGGAATGCCAAGCATAAAGCACAGAGCAATTAACAAAAGTTTTTGAGACATACCGAACGAAGTTTAGAACCAAAATCTGGAGTGAAATCAGGCAAGATATCAACGTGCGTTTTCAATAGACAGATTTCAGGTCCAACCTGTAAAAGAATCAAATGATCAAAACAATGTCATAACATTCAAATAAAAGGCAGACATCAAAATAAATAAATAAATAAAGTCTCATTCATTTAATGCATTTCAAAACGTTCTTTTTTTTCCCCTTTCCCTTTCCATAAAACATTGCCTTAGATAAGCTTATCCAACAAGAGCAATGAAATTTTCAAATGCTTAGAGCCTTAAACCGACATATGCATAACCAAAGACAGAAGAACCAAAAAAGGGTATTTACAATCACTTGTCCAAAAAAATCCCTTTTTCAAAAAGAAGAAAATAACAAGAACCCAAAAACCGTCTTCCTCACCTTCTCGGCGATGTCAAGCAACTCTGCTGCAGTACCAACATCAGCAGCCAAACACAGATTACTCTCCTTCTTCACCATGACTTCAAACAACTTCTTAGCCGTGGGATTCTTGGTCATTTTGGCTCTTTCTTGGAATCCCAAAGCCTTAATTATAACCTTCTCAACTTTAGGCACGGCCACCTTCCTGTTCTCCTCCAAGAATCTCATTACTACGCCCTCCATCTCCTCCTCTAGCTTACCCTTTTTCCTCAAAACACTCACCATTTCACTCAACTTAAAAAGCGCGTGCAATTGAATCCCATTCTCTTCCAAATTCTCCCTGCCGCCTTGCTCTCTATCAATCACAACGACAGCATCCGTGACGTTGACCCCAGCGGCGCGCAGAGGCGTGGCCGTTTCTAGAACGGAGGCCCCAGAAGTGACAAGGTCCTCGATGATCAGACAAGTCTGGCCCTTGTCGAAAACGCCCTCGATGGACTTGGAAGTTCCATAGTCTTTGACTTCCTTGCGGCGCATGAGCATGGGAATGGAATGATCGAGGGAGATGGAAGTGGCGATGGGGAGGGCAGTGTATGGGACGCCACAGACGAGGTTGTAATGGGTGTGTGGAGGGAGAGAGGCGATTAGGGATTGGGAAATTTGGCGGAGAAGGGAGGGGTAAGAAACGATGAGACGGAGATCGATATAGATGGGGGAGGAGATGCCGGATTTCAGCTTGAAGTTGCCGAATTTCACAGCAGAAATCTCGTGGAGCTGCAAGATGAGGGACTCCATGGACGCCATCGTCGATGCTGGGACTGGTACCGTCACTGGGAGTTAAAGAGAAGTGGTACTGTTGCGGTTGTGGGACAGGGAAGGGAAATAGGGTTTCCCGTTGACTAGTACTTTATTGACATAATTAAAACTTTTACGGAAGTAGTGTCTACGTGTGCACACTAATGGGGTTTTTTAGAAATTGAAAAATTTTACTTCTTAATTAAACTGCATTTTACGCGCGTTCTACTACGAACATTCATCCGCGGGTTAACAATCCGACGTTCACTTTTGTCGGCTAAAGTTATTCTTGTCTTTTTATTAATTTAATATTTAAAAATTACATTAACTCTTAATTAATTTATAATTTAACATCATCATATTTCATAAACTCTTCGTAATAAGGAAAAAAAATTTTTAACATATAATTTTTTATTTGTAAAACTAAAATATAAAATTTTATTTAAAAATAATTGAGTTTTTTAAAGTTAAATTAATAATTCGTTAATACCTAAAGATATTATTGTTGAAAAAATAAAATAAAAAATTAAAACTATAGTCTCTTAATATTTAAATATCAAAATTATAAATTTATTTTAAGTATTTTTAATAAATTAATATATAAAAAATTAATTAACAAATAAAATATTTTCGTGGAAATCCTCACATTTTAATTTCGGAAACCTTTGGTTTTTTGCAATCCCAAAATAAAAAATTACTAGGTGTCTGCAGACTTTCTTCTCTCTTCCAATATCCATATTCCATACGAACAATACCAATGTTCCTTCGTTTTCTGCAAAAATAAGGTAATATTCTCTCTCTTCTGAGCAACCTTTTTCCAATTCTTCAGCTTCTATTCGTATCAAATTTTGTTTCTTTTGTTTTTCTTTTCTTTTTTTTCCCAGAGAATGTAAGACCCCTTCTTCTCAATTCTTCCATTTTTTCCTCTTTTTATTTTTTCTGAACAATTAGATTGATTTTGGCTTTTTGTTTTTGGCTGCAGAATCTAAGACAAGAAGCTGTAAGGATTTAGGGCCCCATTTTGGATAAGAATATTGTTTGGAACCAATTGTATTCCAATCTGTAAGGAGCCTTCCCTTTTTTTTTTTTTTTTTTTTTTTTTTCTGTTATGGTCCTTTGAATGTAATGCTGTTTTCATATTTTTATGTTGAATTTAAATTTGTTCATTGTTTTTGATGGTTCGTTGATCCTGTTAATTTCTCTCTCTTTTTTCTTTTGTTTAAATGAATGCCCCTATGATTTAATGCAGAGAAGACGATGAAAAATGGTAGATTGATTGATTTTAGATGTCATTGACGATTAAAGTTCTTTAATTTGGAGGCTGGAGATGTCTACCCAGCAAGACAATCCCGATTCCGGCAGTTCTTCAGGTGGTATGGCAGGAATTTCTTATATATGCTAGGTAGGAAAACTCAAATTTCTAGTGTTATGTTTGTTAATCCAATATGTAGCATGTGTAGGTTCAGGATACTGCCTATATGATCTCTTATTTTCGGAGACACCAGCTCCGAACGCTTCTTGGAATCCCAGAACTGAGCAAAGGAAAGCTGCTGGTATTGATTTTCAGCCTTAATCATTGTAATTTTGTTTATTTAAAACCATTAAATCATGAATCATATCACAAGTAACCAAACAATAGAGAGAAAACAACAATTGCAATATATCACTTGGGGAATAGATTTGATGGCTGACACATGTATGGTATGTTCTTAGTAGAGTTCAATTCCCAAAAATTTCATTCAGTGACATAGTGTAAGAAGAAGGTGGCCATCTACCTAGGTTTTATATACCTTCTGCAAGGCTGCCACTACGTGTTTCATAGTGCATGACTTCTGAATTTGGTGTTGAAAGGGAAGCATTTGTACTTGTTTTCAACTCCTCTTTTCTTTTAATCAGGTCCACAGAAAAGGTTAGAGACTTTTTCACGTCAACTCAGCAACAAGCATTGTGCAGATTGTGGATCCCCAGATCCAAAATGGGTGTAAGTACCATATTGGGACTACTTTTCAATTTCTTTTGGTTCTTTGATTTCCTTTTGTTATAAATAATCACCTTCAGTTTGTCTTCTCCATTTCGGGATTTCCGTTATATATATTGCCTTCTTTTTTCTTGGAACTTCCCTTTCTCTCTCTCCTTCTGTATCATGAAATGCTAATGCTTTTCATAGTGACAAACTGATGATAGTTCATATATGTACTCTGGTAATTGCATTGCCTTCATTTAACTGCATTAGTTGGTGTATATCAGATCTTTGACTCTTGGAGTATTTATTTGTATAAAGTGTTCTGGTGTTCATAGAAGCCTTGGGGTGCATATATCAAAGGTATGGTTCTCAAACCATTCTCTTTAACGTCCATTTTTAATTTAAGTATAACAGTTATACTAGTTTTAAACTTGTCAGAGAGATGTTATAGTAATAATTGGAGGAGAAATTTCTATTGTTGGATAAACTTGAAAAGGCTGCTGCTGTATATAACACTGTATCCCTACAGCCTGGATTTGTACTCCTGTCCTCTGCCACCTTTGGTTGTCATCATGGATTAAGGTTGTGATTCTCAGCATGACTCAAGCACTCTTGACAAAGTTAATGTTGTTGATTTCATTTGGGGCCAATTTTCAGCAGTTTAACCATCTTCATAGCCTAAATTTTTTGCTCAAAAAGTTGCCTGCTGGAAAATATTTGATACAGGTCAATAAGAAATTTGTTATGTAGAAAAATCTACCTGAGTAGCATGTTCAATCAATTCCAGTCATTGGATCTGCATTCTGCTACCTCAAACTAAACTCTTTTTCTCTGTTACACGTTTCACATTTGCAATTTGATGCTATAATTTAATTTACTGTTCCAGGTGCTATCCATGAAGCTAGATGAATGGTCAGATGAACAAGTTGATTGTATGATAAATCTGGGTGGCAACTCCATAGCAAATGATAAATATGAAGCGTGCATTCCTGATAACATCAGGAAACCTAGGCCAGATTCCTCCATTGAGGAGCGTGCTGACTTTATAAGGTAATATTACTAAAAAAGCTCCTATCACAACTGCTCTACAAAAGAGCTGAGTCATCCTTAATCAGGACTCTACTTATTTAATATTCAGGAGAAAATATGAATTGCAGCAATTTATGGAATGCAATGAAAGTTTGCTCTGCCCCTACACACCAAATATGGGTTCTTCATCATCCCTACATTGTTCTTCAGAGCACTACTCTAACCACGATAAGAAACCATTAGAAAAACAATCCACCAAGCACCACCGTATTGGACATGCCTTTCGTAATAGCTGGGGAAGAAAAGATGTAGAACACAAGTCTACTAAGAAGATTAACTCATTGGTAATTATATTCTGTTTGATCAATTTACTTCATCTCTTACTTATTTGGAATAAAATGCAGTTTCTTCTTGATTTGGTAATAAAGACTTATGTTGACATGGAAAATTATATACATATAATATTTGGAAAATTAATGTCATATAACAAATCATTGTCTCCCTAATGCATCCTTATATTACATTTTTGGCATGTGCCATGCTAGCATGTTAAATATCAAGTTTCTTGTCCATGCTAAAATCTTTTGAAAGCAATTGGTGGGAGAAAAGAATATCTGTGTGTTTCTTTTTAATGTGTAAAGCAGAAGTCATAATCATATGTCTGTGTACACAGCAATATGGGCCTAGTTTGAGTACTGAATCTTATTTCTCTGAATGTACGGCTTTATAGGCAGGCATGGTTGAATTTGTTGGCTTGATTAAGGTGAATGTGGTGAAAGGCACCAACCTAGCTGTCCGGGATGTGATGACAAGTGACCCATATGTCATCCTTGCCTTGGGTCACCAAGTAAGCCTTTTTTATTTCAATAAACTCCTTGATATTATGACACCATCCCAATTAGTGTTGAGAAAATAAGTTTGCAGTGGCAATATAAATTCCTCATAATTTCCTTCTGCAGTCGGTTAAGACACGTGTCATAAAGAACAACCTAAATCCTGTCTGGAATGAGAGTCTAATGTTGTCAATTCCAGAGCAAATTCCTCCTCTGAAAGTGGTAAGTTGGAATCTTTTACTGAAATTTTATTTTTTTATCATAGAAATGTCAAGACATAAGGTGACTTTGCAGTTAACCCAAGGTTCATTAAATTGAGGAACATTCTTTCTGTGCTATGGAATACTTGTGTTCTCTATTTTTCTCCTAGGCTAGATTATGTATATTTAGTGAGATTATCTGGATGTTTGCAGATTGTGTACGATAAGGATACTTTCTCAACAGATGATTTTATGGGGGAGGCAGAGATTGATATTCAACCTCTACTAACTGCTGCCAGAGCATGTGAAAAGTCTGAAATCAGTGATGAGACCATGCAACTCGGGAAGTGGGTAGCAAACAAGGAGAACACTCTTGAAAAAGATGGTATCATCTCCTTGGTAGATGGGAGAGTAAAACAGGAAATCTCTGTTAGGCTACAGAGAGTTGAGAGAGGGGTGCTAGAAATTGAGCTGGAATGTGTTGCCCTTAGTCAATAATTGGCATAGAGATCTGGTGATCCATTGAGATATTGACATTTCTATCAAACTTTGAATGGAACAATGTAATTTACTGGCTGCCCTCCTTGAGGTTCCTCGCCTGTTGTAATTTTGTCTCATTTTGAAGACAGAAGAAGTTGATATTTACCTTCAAAGTTACAGATCACTGTGTATTTCCTCCATTTCCTTCTTATGAAACAAGATTATGATGCACTTGCACTGGTAGTCATAAAAAAATAAAATAAAATAAAATAAAATACCCCCAAAACCTAGCAGGAGCCTGGGTTTGGAGGCCGAAAAATCATGGCCTTTGGTTAGTGGGACGGTTCAGTCGCTGACCTAAATGAAGGGACTCAGTCTTTCGGCCTACCAAAATTTTGGTAGAAAACTATTAACATCATTTCCCCTTTAATTTTAGAAATCCTAAAAAACATCCCTTAAGGAACTTCCCAATGATTAAAAATCTGAATTTCTATATTAAAAATTTTAAATTTGAATCTTGAGATAGGGAAAAAAAAATTTAATAAAAAAAATTATTATTTATTGTATAACTTATCATTCAATGCACTTAAAAACAGTATCCTTAAAAGCTGGCGTCTTCCTTTAATAGTCTCCCTTTATGTATTTGCTGTCTATTTTATGGAAAACCCATGCCAGTAGGAGTAATTCTTAACACACAGAAGGGTCCAACTTCCATTTGCTGGTCCACATAAAAAGTTGATAGTCTTTTATATCAAAGCAAAACAAAGCTAAGCTTGTTAGTTAGTACCCAATTCTTTTCAGTTAAGCAATGTTTCACACTTCAATTTTTTTTTTTTTTTTGTACATCTGATTATGGACTATACAAAAAGGGGTAGCCTTCCCTATTTCCAAGTCCCACCGCACTTAACTCAATACTTGAATTTGAGATCTCCAACTTGAAATCTCAAGTTTTTAACCATTGAATCGCTCCATTAAGGGTTAATGTTTCACACTTCGTGCTTCTTAGAACATTACACTTGTGTAATTCCTTGCTCTTGCTCCTCGGGGCAACCCTCATTACCTTCCTTCTCAACCAAAAGGCCAAGCCTTCTAAGAAAGCAACCCTCTCCTGGCCAATCTGCCAGAGATATGGAGGAATAAACCAGCCATTTGTTGGATACTTGGCCAGTTGAAAGAATTCAAAACAGAGGTTGCTTGCATCCAAGCCCATCACAATATGGAAACAGAGTATAGCAGAAGGGGATTTTGATGATATCCATGGTGCCTCGTTGGGACCAAAGGAAGAAAATGAGAAAGTTGGTGGCTCATGAGATTTCAATGGTTACAACATAAGAGAAAAATGTGATAACTTTGTTAGGTTGATTTATAATCAATGGATGGATACTACTTCAATTGGTTCGGTAATTGATTTGCAAGTTGTAATTAGACAACAGTACAGTATAAATTTTATTAGGAAGCTGATGTTCAACAAAAGGTATTTTGGAAAGGGTAGTGGCTGGAGGACCACGGCCCGAAGAAGAACATGTACTGCACTCCTTACTGTGCTCATGCATCTTTACTCCTTTGTACTATTGAATTATGTTCCTTTCCTTAGTCTAGGATTTAGAAGGTCATGAGAAGATTGTAAGCAAGCCCATGAAAATTGTCAACAAATATCACAATCCATTAGTGGATCAAATGGTGCAGCAATTGAAAGCTTCTGAATGCTAGGCATCTGCATGCATCCGAGCATAGCCTAGTACTCAGTGCATTTCATCCTATTTATTCCTTGCTTTTCTTTCATTGTTTCATCAAAATAACAAGCTCCTTGTAATATATACCACAGAACCATAGACAGGCAGATTCCATACCCACAAAAAACAGTCCAGAAATTAAAAGTTTTATCATATAGTAGATAACACAATAAAAAGCATGACACTAGAATTGTTCCAATTGTGTGTGAGTGGGTTTCTACATCCGAAGGCAGGCAAATCAGAACGATATAAACAATCCTAAGTTGTACCCACATTTAAAGGCATCCTATAAGGAGAGACCTTATAGTGAACATAATACAATAAACAGGGAACCACCTAGGTAAAAGCAGGCTTTCATGGATTAAAATCTCACAAGACAGCAAAGTTAGATGACAAAAATTAAACCATAAAAAGCAGTTTGGTTAATCAATTGTGAAAGGTTTTTGTCCCTTGCAGATGCAATATTAATGCATCAATTTGTAAAAGCATCCAAAGGCTGTTTAAACATAAAATAGATGAAACAAGGAAAAAAAAAAAGGATAGAACAGGGAATCATGTATCAATAATTATTGGATCAAATTTATATAACATTTTACACTCCAATACTAATTTAAATGACCCTGTTCATTCCCATGAAAAACATATCCTCCAAACAAAATATACAAACTCAATATTCAAATGAAATTCACAACTCAAACTCATTTTCTTTGCCATAATGCTAACAATAATTCCTGAATTATGACAAATGAGCAACTAAGAACCACTAACTTCAAGACAAACTGACATCTTCAACATTAATATTAATCCAACCTCGGAGAAAGAGACTCCAATTATATATTGAAGTGTCTTTCACCACACGGCAGTGAAAGAAATTACAGCATATATGAATACATCCTGATAATAATCTTTCCTTTGCAACACTTGCAAATTCATTATATTAATGCAATGCTACATATTTACATTCCACTAATAAGAGAGACAATCTCTTGACCATCAAAATAACCAAACCAAATATGGTATTTTGATTGCATAATGCATAAACTATTATTTCAACACCAATTCAGCGAGAAAACAGATATCATCAACTCTCAAGTGATGGAACATGTCATAAGAGGCCCCAGGAATCCAAAAGAGACTTTTGAATCCAAGCAAATTAAACATATCCACATCCTCAATACATGTCAACAAACCGAAAGAAATTCTAAATATATGCACCAAATGCGCAACTGACCATTCAGCAATCTTCAAGAGCAGCAATCAGGGCATCGAATCAATCCATTCTCATTGCACTCCAAACATCTCTTTAGTAGTCCTTCGTCCTCGTCAAACACCTTTCTGCTCCCACTGCAATTCCCGCATGGGATGAACCTTACATCACCACATCCCTGACATACAAACCCTGGTGTGCGCCTCGGGAACCCCTCCAGAATCTTGGCTAGTTCACCAACCTCAAACATGCTCTTTATCACATCAGCCCCACCCACATACCTCCCCCTAATAAACACCTGCGGCAAGCTGACATTCTTCTCCCTCAACACGCTTTGCAACTCCTTCTTATAGGCAGAATCCATGGAGATATCTCTCTCGTCAATCCAAACCCCAAAGCCTCTAAAGATCATTCTAACAGCATAACAATCCTCGTAAGTCCTTCGAATCCCACGTAAACTAGTGAAATATACAACAATTCTATCCTCAGTACCAGGTAATCGAATCAAGGAGTTATTGAAACTCGGAAACCCTGTATACCCAATTGATCTTGACGGTCTCAGCACTCTTGTGGACAGTTGTGTCTGAAATTGCGATTGTGGTTCATTAACAACCGGGGCTTTGGAGGATTTCCCAGACTCGAATAAAGTGCAGAGCTTTTTGACCTTACCCTTCAATGAATTACCGGCGGAGACCACGGACTCGATCGAATTGTAAAACTTGGATATGGATGTTGTCCGATTGAAAGACGAATTGAGAAGGAAATGCACCTTGGGGTTGGAATCAGCTGGGGTTCCCTGCATCGTCATCGATCGATTAAAGAATGAAGAAGTATTAGTCTTCCCAGAGAACTCGGCGCTCTTTTCCACGTTCTTCCCCGAATCTGCCATCGACCCAGATCACGAAACGCAGAAATATTAAAGGGATTCCGATTCTTTTCTTGAAAGAAGAATTCTTGAGGAAATGGGAACCTAGGGTTAGGGTTTTTGAAATTGAAAAGGGAAGAGGAAGATCAAAAAACCAAGCCTTGAATTGGGAAAGATCTCGATTGAAGGAAGAACGAAGCTGAATCAAGGAGGGAAGAAGAAGACGAATTGATTGTTGGGGTGGGTGGATATGATGTGTTCTGTTTTCGCTGTTGTTGGTTACTTTTTCGCTTTCGGGAAATGGAAAAGGGAGCTGCTTTTGTTCGTAAGAAATGTGGCTGTAGATGGAGGACGTTGGCGTAGGTTCAAAGCAACGATTTCGATTCTGTTATCTTTTCAACAAAAAGAAACATTTTTTCCTCTCAAGAGAAAACCGAAAAAAAACAGAAAAAACAAAAGCTTGAAAAAATGGCTTTTTATTATTTACTATTTATTTTTATACTGTAATTCCCTTGT